ACTTTCAAGTTGTAAATTGATCTTCATAATTGAATATGTGTGTGTGTGTGTGTGTGTGTGTGTGTGTCTATAACAAGAATGTATTATTATGTATAAAAATAGAAATAGAATGAAAAATAGTATTAAAATAAATAAAATACAGCCGGAACCCACGTGCCGATGAGATAGAAGGGAAAGCTGATAGGAAGCTACGTTGAAGTGGTCCAGGTTCCGGAAGATGATGAGAGACTATGAATTCTCTGGGAATCTCAGCGACGTGGGGTGGCGACAGATCCGGCGACCCTTCTGCTGCATGCATGCTTTTCCTCCAGTATAATTATCATCTTCTTCGATATGGGATATAATCTTCTCCCTATCTAATTTCTCACTTCCGCCAGCTAACATTCCCAATACAAAAATAATTATTATTTTATAATCTCCAACAATATTAGTTTTTTCTTTTTTCTTTGAGTAATACGGCACTTACTAAATTTTTTATAACACATGTGGGTCTCATCTATATTAGATAAATAATACAAATATAGTATGAAAAATGTGGTTAGATTAGCTACACTTGGATGTCGAAGGTGTTCTGGGATGATCTCGTAGTTCCTACAGGTGGAGACGATGGTGTCGTTCCATGAATTTTTCTTCCTTTTACCGCATTTCGCTCAAAGGGTTAAAGGGAGATAGTGCATCAAGCTGTTAGTAAGGGAGAGTTGTCGACTCCACTACGGTCCGAGTACGTTCCATACTAGATCTAACCAACTGCCCATCCTACCTCCTCCACGTTATTGTTCTCAAAGAAGATGGATATTTTGCAATAAGGGAGGAGGATTAGGCTAGGCTATACAACAGATCAGAGAATGACTAAGTATCGATCAAATACAATACAATTATAATACATCATTGTCATTCATGTGAACTGAACTTGAGACCTCCAAGGTGACAATGACTAAGTATCAATCGAATACAACACATATATAATACGTCATTGGCATCCATGTGAATCGAACTTGATACCTCCAAATCTCAAACTTAGAAGACGAATGCCATACTATTATAGACCTCTCAATCTCCAACGGTATTAGTTAACTTATACACTTTTCGTGTTCCCATTAGCACTATAATTAATTAGACTTTGCTAGCTAGCTACTTTCAGTGTCATACATTTTAATTATTTATTTTGGTTTAATTAATAATATTGCAATCAGACCCATAACCAATAATATAATAATCTTTTAGTTTGGACCCCTACAAATAGGGTTTCCACTCTGTGTCATTCTGCATATGCATGCCTAGCTAGCTAACTACTTGATAATCAAGTTTAGTAGTTTACTTTAGCATCATTCTCCTCTCTCTCTCTCTCTCTCTCTCTCTCTCTCTCTCTCCCCCCCCCCCTCCTAGAAATGGCACTAGCGAAGGATATTAGAATGTCTACTCCTCATGACTCATGCACTCATGATTCCCTTCAAGTTTCAGATCTTTCTAATGGATTTGTGTTTAGAGCCACATCTAGTTACCAACCTGATCAGCTTATTAACTTCAAAAGTGGGTACTACAACAGTGGTGAATCTCTGCTTTGTTTTGATAAAAACAAGCAAAATTCTCAAAGCATTTACTTGAACAGTAGTGCCAGCAAAGATAACTGCGACAGTGATTTGCATCATGGTAGTTACAGCCAGTGGAATCAGACGACTGGCATCGGCGATCATAGCCTTTCGGGGGATTTGAATTGGTTTCAGACGGCTAGCAATTACAGCAGCTCCATCCCCAGCACATCAAAGGAAGACCATGGAGATCATGAGGCTTATGGATGGATATACTCTGAAGCAACTGATAATTTCCAGCAATCACACGAGCAAGAAGCGGGCTTTCACAAGCGTCCCATTACGGTAATTAGCTTCTCTTATTATTCTCTTTGTTCACAAAATTAATTAAATATGTCGGAAAACTATCAATCTCGACTATATAATATATTGAGTTGATTCATGCTACAATGTGCAGTCTAGATTGACAATAAATTCTTGCTAAATTAGAAGTCAACATTGTCATGTAACTTGTATAGTTTCATTTGTGTACCACGAACAATGGCCTTGATATAGCAGAAATTTGTTGACAGGGAGAGAGCATGCAACCTTCAAAGAAGCAATGCACCAGTGCAACTAAGAAGCCCAAACCCAAGTCATCGACAAGTGCTTCAAAGGACCCCCAAAGTATTGCAGCCAAGGTTTGGACACAATTCATGCAAATTTGATTAATTTAGTGCAACCTAAGCAAACTATATCAAATGGAATTTATAATGATGAAAGAATATTTGTCTTTCAGAATCGACGAGAGAGGATTAGCGAGCGGCTTAAGATGCTGCAAGAACTGGTTCCCAATGGCTGCAAGGTGAGTTAATTTCTTATTAGCTTATATAATTTCTTGATCACCACATAAAGTGTTGTAAGTTTATATTATTATTATTATTTTTTTTTTGTAATTCTTAAATTTGTCTTATACGTACATTTTTGCAGGTTGATTTGGTGACCATGTTAGAGAAAGCGATCAGTTATGTTAAATTTCTTCAATTGCAAGTCAAGGTGTGACATCAAACAAATAATTTCCTTGTAAATTAATTTATCTATTGCATGTTTTCAAATTAATACTAGAGAGTCTTATATGCATGGGATCTGATGATTTAGGTGTTGGCGACCGATGAATTTTGGCCGGTTCAAGGTGGGAAAGCTGCTGATATTTCTCAAGTGAAGGAAGCCATTGATGCCATCCTCTCATCTTCTCAGAGAGACACAAGTTCAAGCTCGAAGTAATCGTTGATTAGTAATTGAAAATGAGGCATAATTAAGCTAGAAAAATATATAAAAATAAAAACAAGAGAACTATATATGTAGGCAAAGGAAAAGTGTTGCCATACAAGGAAGTGGGCAATGAATTAAGAATTATAACCTGTATTTTTGCTTTAATTGTGAAATGTTGTGATCTGATTAATTATGCTTCTTGATCTGTATAACTGCATTAGTGTCATTCATGGAGAGTCCATTTGTTTTGTTCTTGATCCATATTTTAGAAAAGAGACATGGTCAAATACTGATATATGTTAGATCTATATATGTAATCTAACGAAACGATATTTGGTTACTCAAGATTTTGAAAGAAGTCCTCTTGTGCATGCTAGATTAGCCAATGGTCCAAGAATTTGACTTGAAATATATCCATGGACCGATCATTTCTAAGGGAAGGACACTAATTAAAATGACCCCAATTTTAAGAGGCCCCAAATGCTCTACCATTTTTGTTTTTTTTATTGGTTATATTCTAAAACTTGAATTGATCACTTTCCAAATCTAATATTCTATTTGACCAAAAAAAAAAAAAATCAAATGGGTTGTTCGGTATCCTTCATAGATCCAGTTTAACGTAGCTAAATTACGTGGTACTCATTGATTTCAAAGTAAAAAGTTGAATCCAAAAAGTACGACAGACATGTTTTAATATTCTATTTGAAGCTATTATTTTTTACATATACCTATTCAAAATCCATAAATTTACAAACCGAACAGCTAGGATAAATAATATTTCAATGCAAGAATTTCCATTAACCAGCTGAATGGGTTTCAAAGTTTGATCGGCTTAATGTCTCCCCTTTTTTTTTTTTTTTTTTTTTTAAATTTTTTTTTATCTAGTTAGATTCATGAATTTACCCAAATCCAAATTTACCTTTGTTGTTTAACTGTATAAGATAACGAAAGATATCTGTAAATATTAAAGTATACTTAAACATATGGACCACCCACGACGAAATTTCAAACTCTACTACTTAATCATCCCTTTTATATTTTTAAAAAATAGTTAGTCTTAGTTTTAACTATTTGGACCGTGATTTAGATGCCTAAACTGTTTTTAATTGATTTAATAATTTTTTTTTTTGATCTAGACTAATCCAGTCTCTAATCATGCTTTAACCACGTGTTCCCATAAATGGCCACGGAGATTACCATCCGCGTATTAAAGTTTAAAGTTATTAATTAGATGATCAATCGCTAAGCCACTGCAAAGGTGACACAATTCTCACGCCTGCAGCTCCTTACTATTTTATTTGGTTTATAAAGTTACTATTGACAAGTGGCGAATTGCTACATTGATAAGGATTTTCTTCAATTTGTTTTGTTTCCGGTTCAAACTATATCCGTATAAATTAAAGTAGTATTATTCGATCCAGTGCTTATTTGAAATTGATTTTTTTTTTAAATAATTTCAGCTTGGAAATGCTTTCAGTAAAAATACTTCTAAAATGCAAGTGTTTCTTGAAAAAGCAATTGAAACTCTTTAAAATGACTAGACAATTATTAGAGATCATTTGAAATTGTTTTTAAAATAACTAAAAGTGTTTTTTTTTTAAAGAAAAAATATGGGTTCAAAAACACTTGAAGTGTTTCCTGCAAAAAGCTCTAGTTATGTATTTCTTACATTAAGCACTTCAAGTGTTTTTCCAAAATTTACTTACATTTTTACTAAGAATTGAAGTGCTTCTTGCAAGCAGCTCTGATTACGTGATTCATACAAAAAACACTATTTATGTGTTTCTTACAAGAATTACTTCAAGTATTTTTTTTTTCCAAAATTTACTTGTATTTTTACTAAAAATTAATTTTAGAAATATTTTCACAAAAATCGTTTTTAATCATTTTTTAAGTATTTTTAAAACTGCTTATTGTATAAACAACGGGCACGAGACTGCTTATTATATAAACGATGGGCACGAACCCAACCCAACTTCTTCGCTTCTAAAAAGGAAAAATTATCGTTTACTTTATAAATGAGATTTTTTAAATTTTCCGTAAATGACAAACTCGATACGATCATTTGGTTATATAGAAATAAAAATGATTTAATTATTCGTATATCGACAGATCTCCAAAAGAAACCGACGCATGTTCTCCAACAAAGAAAAAAAAAAAAAAAAAAAGACAAACCAACGGACGGAAGCCAAGTTGCTGTCCAATAAAACTTTCGAACTGTTTGCTTAAACGCCAACCCTCCTCGCTCTCTCCTCTCTCTCTCTCTCCCTCCCTCTCTCTCTCTCTCTCCTCGTAGCGCTTCTCAGCCTCTAAATTTCCCCACTCAGATATTTCTTCCTCTCTGTTTTTTCTTACTCGACCACCCACCCAACTAAACTTACCCACCACCACCTCTTCACTTCGTTCACCTCCCTTCTTAATGGATTCCCGCTCATCATCCGACGGTCGGAGTTTGACTCCGGACTCACTCTCTCCCACCTTCTCCTCATCCTCAGCCGTCCATCGCGCTCTGGAACTCATCCAATCCGACGACCAGGATTCCAAGCTCCAGGGCGCCCAGGAAATCCGGCGCCTCACCAAGACCTCGCAGCGGTGTCGGCGCCAGCTCTCCGACTCGGTGGGCCCACTCGTGTGCATGCTCCGCCTTCGTGACTCGCCCGAGTCCCATGAGTCGGCCCTACTCGCCCTCCTCAACCTCGCCGTCAAGGATGAGACGTACGTGAAAACATTCCCCTTCGAACTCTTTCTATATTTTTTAATTTTATTTTATAAAAAGATTTTCCTTTTTTTCATGGAATTTAGTGACTATATTTCTTGGAAATTGTGTATGTATTTTCTTGAATTTTGGGAAATTTCTTTATAGGATTCTTGGTCTGGGTGCCCTTCACGTTCATTTCTATTTGTGCGGTCACGGTTATACTACGTCAACCTTTTATATTTTTATTTTTTTTGTTTTATTATTTTTATAAAAAATCAATATATAATGTTAACTTGACTTAGCCGTGACTTTACAAAATATGAGAAGATGAAAAAAACATCCAAACAAACAAGGCAGACAATCTGCCTCCTTAATTTGGTGAAAAATATAAATATTAATATAAAATAATGGCTCCCGCAGAATCCTATTCGGGGATCCTCTTTTTTCTTTTTTTCTTTTTTTGCTTTACTTTTTCTTTTATCTGATTGGTTGCTGAGAAGATGGTGGGAAAGAATATCCTAAAGTTGTCGGTCAGATTTTCCTTCATGGATATATCTGTTTCGTTTGCGTTTTCAATTTTTTTTTTTTTTTTTTTATCATGATAAATGTTTTTGGTTTTGTCAAAATAATTTTATTTGGGTAGCAAATAAATAAAGCTTGTTCAAATTATGATAAACAAATTAATAGGGTGATACTAGCTCAAAAAGTATAACTTTTACACTTGTAAATAAGTCTCATATTTTTTGTTTAAATAATAAAGTCTCATATTTAATTATTGTAAATTTAAATACCTAATTATAACTGCACCATTCTGTTATGTTAGTCAGCTCAAATCCACTTTTCTCCAATTTTGTTTTGTTTTGAAGAAAAAGAAAGTTTATTTAAATGGGTTGGTACTTTGGTTGGTTATAATTAGGTTCATAAAGTTACCAAAAGGAAGAAAAGAATGCAATCAAGTTATGCTCCATTTTCTTATGGAATTGGAAGCTATGCTCGTTTGTGGTTGCTTCGAATATAGTACTTTTGGTCTAATTTCTTGAATAGTATTGAAATTAAAGGAACAATAAATAAATATACACAGATATACAATATTTTCTAGGAATTCAAGTAGTTTGCATGGCCAATGAAAATGTTGGTATTAATATGAAGTTCATCATGTGATCGAGAGATTTTTCAGTGTGTCGAGAACACGGTCCGATATATCAAGTGTAATAATATAATTTGTCGAGAACTTTCAATCAATTTTATTATTACACATGGTGTGCATACCCGTATTTCTGGTACACTAAAAAATTTATACTCAGTGATCAAAGAGAAATGTTTGATATTTGTAGCAACCAAAATGAGCATTAGTGGGTTGAAAGCAAATGAGAACCAATCAAATGTTAAGAAAACCAAAGAGATTGCTTTGTGAGTTATGATAGACTTGTGTTGAAAGGAATTGGATGCTTCATGGTTCGAGAAGCCCAGGGGATCCAAGGAGAGTTGTTGCTCTCTTTTTCTTCGCTTCTTACTCCGTCTCCTCCTTTTTTTATGAATCCTACTGCTCAAGTTATCATATTCTAATTAAAAAGTTTTTTGTTCAGTTGGGAAGAAGATAACTATGTGTACCTATTGAGTAAGAGAAGCACATTGGTGGTCCTCCTTTTTAACCTTTTTGCATGTTTATTTGTTGCCTTCTTTTTCTTTTTCTTTTGTTTTTAATAATTTTTTCCTTTTCTTTAGTCTAAATGTAGATCACACTTTTGTAATAAAATAAAACAAAAACACTTCTTTTTGTATTTTTTGTGGTAGTTTCTTGGCACCTAAATGGGGTGTAACTAAGTTCATATGTGGATTAGGTCAATTCGTCAGTTACGAGTTTGAATCAGTCTCGTAAATTAGAGTAGCTTAGAATAGAATATCACATTGTCTAAGCAATTGAGAAACATGACAGTTACGATTTGGATGAAATTACTAGTTGAGTACTTGAGTGTATTTCCATTCAAATTGGAAAGATGCTTGGGTAATTTGAATTTCAATGTTTTGGGCACAATCTTCCTTTTCTGCTGCTAATTTTTCTTCTCAATATTTGGTCTCTCAGGAACAAAATTAAGATAGTGGAAGCTGGCGCTTTAGAGCCAATAATTGCTTTCCTTCAGTCACAAAGTTCCACCCTGCAGGAGTATGCAACTGCAGCTCTACTCACTCTATCAGCTTCTGCCGTCAACAAGCCAGTTATTGGTGCTTCCGGTGCCATTCCTCTTCTCGTCGAAATCCTTAGACATGGCAGCCCACAAGCTAAAGTTGACTCAGTAATGGCGCTTTCCAATCTCTCAACACACCCTTCTAATCTTAGCATCATTCTTGAAGCAAAACCAATTCCGTCCATAGTTACTTTGTTAAAGCCCTGCAAGAAATCTTCAAAAACAGCTGAGAGATGCTGTGCTCTGATAGAATCTCTGGTGGGATTCGACGAGGGAAGAACTGCCCTCACGTCTGAAGAAGGCGGAGTGCTTGCAGTGATTGAGGTGCTTGAAAATGGATCGCTCCAAAGTAGGGAGCACGCTGTAAGTACTCTACTAACAATGTGTCAAAGTGACAGGTGCAGATATAGAGAAGCGATTCTTAAAGACGGGGTAATCCCTGGACTTCTCGAGCTCACAGTTCAAGGAACGCCTAAGTCTCAGACAAAAGCGCATACACTTTTGCGCTTATTGAGGGAGTCTCCATACCCGAGATCAGAGCTTGAAGCAGACACTCTGGAGAACATTGTATGCAACATCATCTCTCAAATTGACAGTGATGATCAGTCCAGTAAAGCGAAGAAAATTCTGGCCGATATGGTTCAAGTTAGCATGGAGCAAAGCTTGAGACATTTACAGCAAAGGGCTCTGGTATGCACATCGACTGATCTGCCTATCAGTACTTGCACCTCTGAAGTATCTTTGAAATGACAGTTTTTCGTTTGATTAGCTTCGTCTTTCTGACGCGGGTCCTGTGAGATAAAATTTCGATGCTGTACTAGAACAAAGAACAAAGAATGATATGGTAAAAATGATGCCAGTCCAGGCCTCTGCGAAGTCGGGTGACTGGTAAGTATCAATAAACTAGACAATGTATGAGAGTTTGAGAGAAAATATTCTATTAGTTGGTTTGTAAAGAACTGTTGGATCCTTTAGTATAATAATCTACTGAAAGCTTTACATATATCTCCATTGGTTACCTATCATATGAGGTTCCTCTGTTAATTGTTAAACGGAACTCGTTCGAGAAATTTTTCAACGTGTCTGAGTTTATTTCTAATCCCTCGCATCCAACTATTTGTCATCCATTTCTTCTTTTATTTTTCCTAATTGCCTTGGAATTTAGAAGTTTCTTGCCCAAACATACCATAAGTGAATCTAAGCATCACTTTGCCTTTCCTAATAATGATGTTTCGAGACAATTTTCTGTCGTAAAACTTCCCGACTTCGACTCAATCCATCCCAAGCGATCACACAACATTAGTTTTGTGGTAGGAACTTGCCAACACACAAAATTTAGCTTGGACTAACAATCACCAAGTGCCGCAAGGCTTCTGGATGTAACGGAAATCTCCACAACCATTTCGTTGTTTTTTGCCATCAGGTTTCTTGACTCCCAAGCTACCTCCTAACTTATGAAGGTAACTCAATGAAGAAATACAAGTTAAAATTTGGTCCATGGGATTTGCAAGATGGAATAGCTGGTAGTGGAATAAGGGTGAGAAGAGTGATGAAAGGAGACAACTCTCTCTAGTCGAGATAAGTGCCCTATCTACCTGTATTTCTGCAAGTTTGCTAACAGATGAATGTACCAAAGGCAATTTAAAGTAACAAAAACATAATTAGATCATAAATATCAAATCTTGGCGCCTGGAGGCGTTGGGAACAAAAGAGTCACCCCTTTAAAGAAAGGAGCATCGCAGCCTTTTCATTATTTCCTTCTCCAAGAACTCTAGATTGTCAGCATCAGATGCTTGATTTTCCTCAGATGCCTTTTCTCGGTAACCAGGAGAATTCATCCACCATACCCTTCCCAGAGTACTTATTTCCTGCTTCAAGAATTCTAGCTTGTCAGCGTTAGATTCTTGAATCTTTTCAGATGTCTTTTCTCGGTAACCAGGAGAGTTTATCATCAGATACAACTTTTCCCGTTCCCTGTAAGCATAATAAAGTTCGTTAGTACTTGGTAGTCAGCAGCTTACTCTTCGGGCGACATTTGATATAATACAAGACTAAACTTCTTTCTGCGTGTCCATCCTAATCCTTCAAGTTACAAGGCATTCATATTCTTCGTCTATTGCACATGAAATCTAATCATTTAGCTAGTCGAGTCCAGTCTAGTCTAGTCTTGCAACCTGCCAAACACAGCCTAAATATATATACATATGGCACAAAACAAATAGCACAGGCAACGTTGTATAAGTAAAAACAATTTATTCATGGGCTTACAGTATGAATTTTCCATCTTCTCACGGATCTTTTCAGGGTCTGCCTTTACTCTTGGAACCCTCAGAAAAACCAACAGATATTCATTTACAAGACACATTTCGTATCCACTGGAGACGGTGCTGGTAGGAAAACTGTCATTCTCGCTGTGTATCTGCAGGGGCAAGAAGATTTATCACATATAATTACCTAATAACCTAGTAGACAACCAACTTTACTACCAAAGGCATCATCATCAAACACTTGTTTCGCGGACATGTCCCCGGCAATATATAGGATTTTAAAGTGGCCACTTTTTGAAGATTCCCTTCTCTCTGTTTGGAGATCATATTCATTGAACAGAACTCCAATCTCCGTATTCGGTTATCTGAACAAACCAATCCATGGGTTCTGCTCAGGTAACTTAGTGGGTGAATCAAGTACATTTAACTATTAAATTCTTTCAAGCTATTTCAAGTCAATGTACTAGCTCTCTGTCAATTGAATTGTGAATTAAAATTTTTATATTAACCAGTGGAATCGCTTGATTAAGATGCGTCCAGGTTGAATGTAGGATTAGGTTTTAGTTTTAAAATTGTTTGATTATAGCCTAAACCAACGAACCGCCCTTCCCGCACGCCATAGACTCTGTGTCTTATCTTAGGGATTCGTTGTTCTCTATACAAGAAACATGCTTGACTGGTGGCACAAAAGAACTGTCGTTAAAGAAAAATGCTGATAGGTTCGACCAAAACAAAAGATACATGATAGAGGAGATTTTCTAAAGAAAAATGTATCATTTACCGTCAAAGAAGACAAATGGGCAAGAGCTTCAATCTCCAGTCGATGGCTGTAGATTATCTTCCAATCCAAATTGTTTCGACACATTACATGAGCTGGTCGCCTAAAAAAAATAGAAAGAGAATGAGAAGTCCAACTGCAGATATCACATAATTTCAGAGATTTTTAAGAAACAAGATAGACGTTGCACTGCACCTTCAAGATATACCTTTCACGACTTTCTTTTGCAAGTGAACGGAGAGATTTCACAATAGTCTCTACAAGGTTCATCTCAGACTCTACCCTTCATTTGTCCAGCACTGGAAGAATAACATGATAAAAAGGCAGTTAGTACACAAACCAAGTTCAGATCAACATCAAACATTATATCAGCAACCTTCTTCCAAGTTACAAGGTCATATTACGACTAAACTGAATGCTTTTATTATGACTAAACTTACATCTACAATGGATGGATACTCGCACATCATAATTGATATTGCCCTCTTGTGAACCCCGGAAGATGGAAGACGCTGCCACAGTTCTTCTGTGACAAATGGCACAAAAGGATGAAGCAACCGTAACCCATGTTCAAGACATAACCATAGAGTATCCCATGCAAAACCCCTTTCTGATGCAAACTTTGGATCGTTACCAAAAAAGTAAGGCTTGATCATTTCAAGAAAAACATCGCACAACTGGTATTGCCACCAAGCATGCACTACGGTGGCCGCATCTGATAACTCATAGGATTCCAGTGACAAAATAATTTTGGATATGGATTTATTCAGTACCGAGAGTATCCACTGGCAACTAAATGGAAGCAAATCTGGATTTACACTTGAGGGTGGAACATAGTCATCCCCAAGTATGCTCAGAGAAAATCGCACTGCATTCCACAATTTATTACAATAGCAACTATAGCTCTAAACACTTTGGATGTCCAAATTAATCTTATCATGCTGAAAGGACAAAACAATAAAACAGATTATTTAGATCAAGTCTAAACCTGACCAGTATAAGACATGTGAGAAAACAATTACATGAATAATATAGTTAGACAGAAGTCTAAACCTGAACAGTATAAGACACGAGAGCAAAACGGAGAGCATCTGCACCACATTCCCAAATTCCTGCAGGAAAGTCCTTCTTTAGCCCTTCTTCTGAGACAGCTACTTCCTTGGCATCCAAATTTCCCTCTAAAATCTTCTTCCGTAGACCTTCAAGGTCAATACCATTTATTACATCAAGTGGATCAATGACATTTCCCAAGGATTTTGACATTTTATGTCCATGGGCATCATGAATCATTGGGTGCAAATATACCTGCAGACCAATAAAAGTCCACTTGTCACTTCAGTAATCAAAACATAAGATGAAAATCATCGCACGAAGATATCCACACAATCAAAACATATATATCTTCAGCAAACAAGCAAAAGTCTTAAAGTTTAAGACATAAAACTAAAACACCTACTGGAACACACTGACAAGCTAACAAAAATAGTCATGTAACGTTGGAATCTCATCACAACAGCGTACTTTTATTTCCACAAATATTCTTTAGCCCCAGGCTTTACCAAGTAGAAGAACATTTTGTCTCTAATTAGTGTATGCTATAACATCTTAAAGTCAGGCAACTAGTAAATTATAACTAGGGAATATACAACACATATAAATCTGTTTATCACACAGATATACATCTATATTGAAACAATTTATGCTTACCTTTGTAAAAGGTATGTTGCCGCCCAATGTCATTCCTAGCATTACCATAAGAGCAACCCATATCATGCCCAGTTTCAAGAACTGCAATCGGATAAAAAGCCTTTAGATCTTCTGTGTTATCTGGCCAGCCCAACACGGAAAATGGAAACAAACCAGAAGAAAACCATGTGTCAAGGACATCAGGATCCTGAATTAATTGAAAATTCCCCTGGTATGCATCACTAGCCTTTGCTTGAGCCTCTTCTTCATTTCTAGAAATTACCCATCGTGCATCAATTAATCCAAAATCTTCCTGCTTATCACCTTCATAAACAACATACCATGCAGGAATACGGTGACCCCACCAAAGTTGCCTTGAGATGCACCAATCACGAATGTTCTCAAGCCATCTGCGACAGGTAGACCAAAACTAGTAGGCACTTACATAGGAAACTAATCAAATATAGAGAGAGAACAAATACAGACTAAGTGAACCAGCTATTCACATAAACAAATAACTATCTGAAAAGAGCTGAGAAAAGATCAATAACAGCTACCATTGATTGACATTAGTTCGACGAATATATCTTAAACAAAAATAAAAAATAAAAGGATCAATGGTTATTGAGATATTGATGACCTATCAAATAATGCATATTTACCAAAAACTACAGAAATTTTACATGAAACTTTGGGAAATGTTAAGCACAACAATAATACATGTGCTACATTAATTCCATTAAAAAAGTCATGATAAAGATGATATCTGATGACAAGTAAAAATTTAAACTGGCTGTTTCATTAGGGCGGCAGGATCTAAACGGAAACAAGACATTACCTCTTCCATTCAGCAGTATACTCTCTTGGGATGATCTCAAGCTTCCTGTGTTCATCATCTACGACAGCATCAAGGGCTTGTTTTCCCATACCGCTGCATTTAAGATACCATTGGGGCTTTATCATGGGTTCCACAACATCTTGGCTTCTAGAGCAAATTCCAAGTCGCATCTCATTGTTCTTTGCTTCTTTATAGAGACCCTAAATGGCATGAGAAAACTGTCACCAAAACCTCCATAACACCATAGAGAAAATGAAGTAAATGGAGAGTATCATCCAACTAGGAATATTGTGAAACAACTGGTGATGTTGATAAGTGATGCAATAACAAGTAAATTATTTTAAACTTCATTTGAGTGTCCAGGATGACGAAATGCAAACAATTCCAATTTCAAATTAACTGTTGAAATCAAAAGAGTATCAGGCGGAAGAGAG